CCGCAACAACAACCCGCCGCCGCCGCCGGATACCCTTACCAGAACCATAACCCTTACTACGCGGCGGAATCTAATCCACGCGCCGTCTTGATCCAACGTCTGTTCATCGTGTTGATGGCTTTTCTGATCATCTTTGGTCTGATGCTCTTCATCTTCATCCTCGTCGTTCGTCCCCAGTCCCCGCTTGTGTACATCACATCTCTCTCCGTCTCCGATTTCAACGTCTCCAACAATCACGTCTCCGGCAAATGGGATCTCAGCCTCCTCTTTCGGAACCCTAATTCGAAGATGTCGCTTCACTACGACAGTGTCCGCTGCTCTGTGTACTACGACCGCGAGCATCTCTCCGATACGCGTTTACAGCCGTTCGATCAAGGGAAGAGAGAAGAGACGCCTTTGAACGCCACGATCTCTGTCTCCGGGACTTACGTCGATGTTGATTCCTTTGCGAAAGAAGACAAGGGAAACGTAGAGTTTGATCTGAGGATGGTCTCTTGGGTTACTTTCCGGTACGGAGCTTACCGGAGGAGTAGATTCGTCACCATCTACTGCGACGACGTAGCGCTTGCTTTTCCGGCCAATAATACTAGTTCCGGGAAGATGTTTGCTTTGTCAAATAGATGCAAATCCTATTGAAACAAACAAAATTAGGGGTCTTTTACTTTTTCTTTTTTTAACCAATTCCTTTGGTTTATAACTACAGTATCAAAGAATCAGTAGTATTGTTCAAGGATTATTCAAGTTGAAATGATTAGTGGTATTGTTGTTTAGTAGTATTGAACTATTGATTCATGATTAGTAAATCACTTTTTACTAGTGATTTTGTGGTTTAGTTTTTGTGAACAAAGAATTTAGGTTTGTGGTTTGTGCTAATGATTTTGCTGTAGACAAATGTAAAAGGGCTGTGGAAAAGACGAGAAAAAAACAAATGCCAAATGGGGCCTTTTTAACATTGAAATAGCACATATTTGTTGAAAGTGGGTAAATAATTTTATGTGGGGCAAAATCGAGATAAGAAATAAGATGAGGGACTAATGGTATAAAAATAAACACCGCGTTGTTCTTCTTGCATCTGGAACAAGCGAGAACGTATACATCTGTAATGTAATCTGATCTCGTCCCCTTTCCTTGACAAATTCTCTTCCACCGAAGCAAATCGTTTTGTATTCCGATCGAGGTATGTTCTTCCTGAATCCTTCACTTTCCCGAGAAATTTTTTACTTCAGATGAGAGGCGTCGCGAAAACGATGAAATTACACGCGTGCTTGGCTTTGCATGAAATTGAATTTGGATCGTTCCGTGACTGGTTTCTTATTAAGGGATTACACAATTTGCTGATTGATTCGTCGTGTCAGTTCGTTATGGAACTCGTATTGTAAACCTAGGTTTTGTTCTGTATTGTACGAGCGGTTTGATTTTGAATAGATAATCTCAATATGGTTGTTCTTAATAGACCTGTTGATGATGCGTAAAATTGAAGGATGTCTTTTGCATAACTGAGACTGTAAGCAGATAATCAGTGGATGTTCAATTGGCTTATGTTTGCTTCGATCTACGGATGTAAATTGCTATTTTGGAACGAGTTTTCTTTGAATTGAGTAACATAGGCCAGTAGTAATGTAACGTGAATTATGACCTGAGTTATGAAGAAGGGATCTTTGGGTTTAACGTTTCATGTTCTTATTGAGCCTTATGAAACTTTGAATTGACTTGTGATAATTTTAGTGTATTTGGAATGCGTTTTACATTCTCATTTTGTATGATCAGTAATAGCGTATATTGTGATCAGATTTTACAACAAAGAAGAATTGAGGTTTGTTTGAGAAGCAGAACATAACAAAGGAAGAAAGGATTGATCAATTGAACTGCAGCCATGGCCCTTAACCCTCAATTGCTACCCAATGGGATGCCTATTCCCTTTGTTAATGAAATGTTCGTTCTAGTCAGAGATGGTGTTGAGTTTGAAGTTGACAAGATCCCTGGGTTCGTGTTCCCTTCTCTTGCCTCGTATTTTTTGGATCTGCTAAAGTGTTTTGTTGAGTGTGGGTTTGAGCTGTGATAATTCGCTCCTCGTTGCTTTTCAATTTAGTATAGTTTTTTTTAATTGGTTTGCTATAAGTGAACAGACGTATAAACACTTCCCTGACGCTCTTTTTCGTTTGATCCAGAGGGCATGGAGGTCAAGTTAAGGTCAAAGGAGTGATATACTTGTCTAATATACGGTTGGTCTTTGTTGCAAGCAAACCTGTTGAGAACTTTGTTGCTTTTGACATGCCCATGGTACGACAAGTTATCATATGTTTTCTCTTATTTGGTCATAAATGGCACAACCACACTTCTACTGAACTATATTTTACTCTACTTTGTAGCTTTACATCCATGCTGAGAAATTCAATCAGCCAATATTCCACTGCAACAATATTTCTGGACAAGTGGAGCCTGTAAGTACAAACTTCATGGGGAATTTTCATTATTCTTGCTAGAAAACTATCATATATACTTAACTTACACACTGCTTTGGCATGTAATAAAATGTCCAGGTGGTTCCAGAGAACGAGCATAGAGCTTTATATTCAACACACACTTTCAAGATCCTATTTAAGGAAGGTGGTTGCGGGACTTTTGTTCCTCTCTTCCTGAATCTCATAACATCAGTGAGGCAATACAATCGGCAACTGCAACAAGCAGCAGCTCCACGTGTTGATCCTCTTCAAGCTGCACAGACCCCTGTGGATGAAATGATGAGACATGCGTAAGTCCCTCTAAATCAAACCAATGACTTTGATAGTATTACAAAAGCAAGCTATTGTTTCTCATAATCGTGTGTGGTCATGTGTATATGTGCAGGTACGTAGACCCGAATGATCCAACGAAGATATATCTGCAGCAGCCATCAGGGGAATCTCAGTTGAGGCGGCGAGCTTACCATTCGAGTGCAGCAGAACAGTGACATACACCAAAAATATACAAGAAGTGGGATACATGAACAGCAACAAATTAGTGGTGCAAATAAGCAAAAGTGTGTTGTTGGTGGTGTGTTGAAACTCTAAAACTAAACCATTTGTGTAATGAGAAAGATAAGACTTAGTTGAGTATGTGTGGAGTGTATGTGTTAAAAATTGGATTCTGAATAATTAAAAGTCTTGTTTGGTTTAAACCTTACAAAATGAATGTTATTGTGGGTTGATCATGCTCGTACCCAGCTCAAGTCTGGTATTTTAAGTTTTTAACAAAAAAAAATTAAAAACGCACTAAAATCTTTTTTACCAATTGATAAGTCTTTAAAATTATACAACGAGTTAAATATAAAAAAATCCGTATATACAGCCTCCCTAGCATTCTTGTTCTGCATTTGAAATAAAAACAAGCAAAAGTTACTAAATCCCTTGTGCATCGCATCGCATTGCATCGCTTTGACCTAGAAACCCTAATCTCAGGGTTTCGGGTCCTCCAGAACCGGCGCTGAACAGAAGCTACTTTGATACACATCGTTTCTGGGTTAGTCTTGTCTAATCTCCGTTTTGTTCCTTCTTAATCGAATCAGTGTTTCCAGTTATGTCGTAGAGATATATATATTTCTGGGTATTCGGATTCTTGTGTTTGGGCTCAATTCATTAGCGGTAACTTCCAAGGGTTAGTTTCGATGTACCTGATAACTTTGAAGCTCTAAATTTGTTTTACTCCATGGATTCCTTACAACTTCTGTGTCTGTCATGTTCGCCGATATCCCCGTTATCCAACAGTTTAACCCTTTGAAATTGCAACTCTTTATCCGATTGTGTTCCTAGTTTCGTGTAAGACGATTGGACAATTCTTGTGTTGTGTCTCTGACCATTATCTAGTGGAATCCATCCTTGTCCTTGGGTTTTCTTAGCTCGATTAGGATGATGATGAAATCCTTCAGCTTCCTTTTATGTTCTTACTTGAGGTTAATAATATACTGATTCCGTGGTGCTTTGCAGCAAGAGAGAAGAGGGTAAAAATCGAGGTTTTATATTGACTAATGGAAGTTCAGGAGAAATCTCGGGAACATGGCCTTGCTCGTATAGTTGATGATACCGGTAATGCATTTGCAATCGGAGCTATTGGAGGTTCTGCATTTCATTTCATTAAAGGGTCACGCAACTCCCCAAGTGGTCGCCGTTTGGTTGGAGGAGCGCAAGCGGTGAGCATGAATGCTGCTCGTTTGGGAGGCAGTTTTGGTTCATACGGAGCCTTATTCTCGGCATTTGAGTACACAACGATCCGCATCAGGAACAAGGAAGATCGATGGAACGCGATCATAGCAGGTACTGCAACAGGAGGGTTACTGTCAATTCGACAGGGAATTGCTGCAGCTTCAACATCAGCGATTTTAGGAGGTGTTTTGCTTGCTCTGCTCAGAAGGAATGCGTAAATGGTGAACCAGCTCAATCTCGGAATCTAAATAATCTACAGTGCCATATTTGTGTTTCCAAAATAAATCATGTCTCTGTCCTGCACTACCCTGTGTCTCTTTAATTTTGCTTCTCCTAATGGTTCTGTACTGAGTTACTGAGTCAATTTTCATCAGCCTTGTTTACCGAAATAGGTCTTGGTTAATTGTACACTGGCGTTTGTGTTAATAAATTTCTTAGATAGTAAGTCGGTGTGTGTAGTCAAAGAGCTCATTGAGCTCAAGAGTAAGCTTTTCCCTGATTATGACCATTCTTAGAAAGCCATATAGTTCCAAAAACAACTCAAGAGAGTATTGAGGCAGAAATAATAAACACATTCCCAAG